GTTACACCTCTACCCATCTTTCCCTTCAAATGAACACTGCTGGTGGCTCCTGCTGGAGCAGGGTGCTGTAGGGCCAGGCAAGAGGCCCCTGTGCCCCTGCCCACTGCACCACCTTATTATGCCTAAGTCACTGCCAAGGAATCTACAAGGGCAAGTGGTTACTGCCGACTCTATTTCCTATTTTCGGAGGACTCTCAATCTACTCTTTTGTCACTGTGCATTTGATAAACTGGCCCCACATCCTCTTCCCTTTATCTGTAGCACCATAGAAGTCTATTGCGTGGTGGAGGCTGATCTGTTTCACAAGTCCCTTTGTGTTCACCCTCAAAAGAAAAGCTTTGAAATTTGTGACCATGAAGCTTTGGGTTTGGCTTTGCTTCCCCAGCTAGCCCCCAGTTTACATAACCATATAACCCTGAAAGCACAAACATAACCAGTCATGGAACAGACAAGCTCCCGCCGGCCACATTTAGTCAGAGGGAGCCTATTGTGCAGGAGAGGGAAGACTCGCAGCCAGCACCAAGGTTCACTGGAGCTGTCTCTTTATCCTTTTCAAGGCCATTCGTGGACAGTGAATGACAATGAATGAGTTTGGGCAAGGGTGGGGAAGGGGGTGAATATCCGCCCGTGGCAGCAGTGAAGGCAAGTGAAACCATTGAACTCCATTACAAAAGGGATTTTTCTTGGAAGAGTACTTACAGGGAGTCAGAACTCCAGCTTTGAAGATACTCCTCTCTGTTCTGTTGGGAAACCATTGGCTGGAATTGCCTTGGTTTTACCAACATAAGATGGCTGTATGCAGTGGACAGGAGCATTTCTGGACCTGAACAGAGAACCTGAAGGTTCTTCCCACTTCAATATGATATGGAAGTGATAGGTAGGTGATTTCAGAGGATTTAAAAATCCATGTATTTTCAAAGAGTCCCTGAGAAGACATGCTTTGCCTTGCCCTTCCTAGTACATCCTTCTATTCCCACTGGACTGCCATGAGGTAACGGTTCCCTCCATTTATTCACTATTTCTGTATGTGGAGGGAAATAAATCATGTCCTAAACCATGGTATCACCTCAGGAAGCCCTGTCCTTTGGGAAACCCACAAATCAGCCACCTGTGCCACATATTTCCAATATTTTATGTAAACATTTAAAAGAAAGGAATCTAACAGATCTAGAAATGTACCAAGATTCTGCAGCTTTAGGAAAATGAGAAAATAGATTTAAAAGAAGCAGAAATGCAAGGTCTGTGTGAATGGCTTGAAACTCAGAGAACATCTTCAGATCTTGGTTTACAAATCACTTTTTCCATGAATCCTTCCCTGACGTCTGTAAGACACAGGGACCTTTGTCCTATGTGCTCCCTGAATGCCCCATACCTAAGGGTAACAACCCCCTTTGATAGTGTCTCCCTAGGGAGGAGACTGCGTCTGTCATGTGGTAAACACACAGCAAGTGTATGGTGTTACAGAAGATTCGCTCAATAAAAACCGACTGCTTGGGGTGGTCAGGCTGCTGTGAGGGCTTAGTAGGATCAGTAAACTGAGTGCTTTGTGTTTACCTCACAAGGAAGGTAGGTTCAACCACAGCCCCCAGACTAATTCAAGTCTTCCTGTTTGAGTTCACCTTATCTTGATGAAGAGAGTCATTTGTTTTACATCTTTTATATGAGCAGAAACAGTTGCAGCCCATCAAGTAGAACTGGGGGGGGGGGGGGTTTTCTGATTACAATCCATTAAGGTTAAGCTGTGATTTCTAAAGCTCTTTCATTTGTGACATGAGCCAAACCCTTACCCAATTTCCTCTCACATAGAAAGCAGCATGCTACTCTTATGAAAATGATTTTTTTAATTATGTTATTTTAAGCAGAAGCATAACTGAAAATGTGTATTGAGCAAAACAGAATACTGTGGTTGGCACACACAAGAAAGGGCTTTTGAGAAAGGCAGGAAAGAGTCCACGTTTGGGGCTGATCTTTTAACCATTTCAAGAGAAGGTTCCCGGCTGAGTTGACTTTCTGAGATTGTCAGGGAGCTCTGACTTATCCTCCACCCCCCAACTCGTCACACACACACACACACACACACACACACACACACACACCACCTGCAGCCCCATTTCTAAGTTATAGCTCACATGTTTCTCTTGAGGTCAGGACACATCTCCTCCCCCTGTGCTTGCGGCTGTCAGGCCGTCGGGGTGTGGGGCAGCTTGAGGATTGTGGTGGGCTATCCCACGTACATTGTGCTCTGAAGCCTGGGGTGACCCAGTGCCTTGGAATCTTTACCAGCTTCCTCTTTACTGGTCCTTTTAAATCCAGAGATCATTCTGTTTTTCCAACAAAATAGAAAGAAGATGTCTCCTGTCACCTGCTTACTATTTCAGTGGCCCCTGGTGGTCCGCCCTTCCCTTCTGTCCCTTCTAATTCCCCAAGGGTACTTTCTGTCAAGAAAAATAGTTTAGTTTGTAATTGAAAACTTATTTTAATAAATGCTCCACAACTTTTTCTTCCAACCAGCCTCCCTCTACTCAGCTCCATTGGCTTTTGAGGTACTACCCCCTGGTCCACTGTGACTAATTCAAATCAGTATCTGACAATGCCTTCCTACAAGAAGGTGCAGGTGTGCCCAGCACCCCTGGCAAGTTTCATTAACCTTTCTCATCTCTAAGATGGCAGTAATACTCCCTGAGTGTATTAGAAAGTGTTGCTGTAATTCTGCGCACAGCTTCTGGCCTCGAAGTGGGATATCTGATGGGCACCTCAAACTTAAAATGGCCAAAGGCAGAACCGGCACTGTCTTCTTTAGACTTGTCTTGTGCACAATGCCCTCTGCCACCTGGGGCTGTGCTGGCACGAGGCAGACACCTGTCACCTGTTTACCGAGGGTAACTGCCCGGTTATTATTACCGTTACTCACTGGAGTGTGCTCGTGTGAGCTTTACACCTGCACAATTCCAGATATGGGTTGGGGGATTGAATAACAACCCTACTAAAATAGGGACCTTGGAAAGCAAGTGTTGCATTTCCTCCCAGAGTAGAAGGCTGAAAGGGACTTGATTAGCTTAGGGAACACGCACTAGTGATGTGAAGGAAAGCCCCCTGTCCCTTCTCCATTTGCACCCACAGGAGTCCTCCTTGATGTGTGTGTCTGCCTGGGACAATAGGAATAAAAGCCACCGCTCTCTTTGCCAGATGATTTTCCTGCTCCAGTCATCGCTCTACCATTTGCTGAGGTTGAGGAGCACCGCTCCCTTTTAGACTCTCCCTCACTTCCACATTGCTGTGTGCCCAGCAGCGCACTTTGGAACCTTCGAGCCCAAGATTGTTTCCTGAATTACTCTGACTTAATTGCTTTCACTCCTGGTGAATTTTCCCTGCTCTCTTTTTCTGAGCATTCCCATGGGAAAAGGGCTTGACAGAGCCTTCACTGCCTGAGGTAGGACTGTGTTCGCCATTCTCAACCTCTTCTGTGCAGGCCAGTACTTCCCAGGGTAGATGATGGATTCAGTAAACTCTCAGTTCTCTGATCAGGAGCTCAAGAAGGTGTTAAGGTGTCAGAGACACAAGGAACTCAGTGAGAGTGTCTGAGGCCTGCAGAGACGGGAGCAGGTACAGAGACACTGCAGTGGATGGTGTCCTGGAGTTTTCCATGCTGGGTGACAAATCAGCTCTGGAAAACTGTGGTCTCAGGATTCTTTCTAACAGAGCAGTTCTTTTATACACTGGCTTCCACCCATGAACTCAGCTCAAATGTCCCTCCCAGAAGTCTGTATGCCACTTCACTGGTTCACCCCTCTCGTCATCTTACCTTGTCGCATTTCTGCACAGCATTTGAGTGGTGTGTGGGTTCGTTGATGTGACTGATTAACATGGGAGACCACCTTCCATTGTATCACCAGTGACTGTGAGGTGCTTCAGTCAGTGCTCAGTGAACCTTTTTACTTGGGTCAGGGAGTGATGAATCGCCTGTTCAGTGGCCAGAGCCCCTGCCGTCAAGACTGGGCCCTGCTGCACAGCTTGTAGGGAAGCCTGGGTTAGCATCAGATGGGCATCTGAATTCCACCATCACCTGTTTTTCGGAGAAGTCAACACCATCAGATTTCTGTATTTGTTTGAGTATGAAATCTGCCTAAAATCCTGGTAAGTGGTACTAAAGTCTGTTGCAAAATAGTGTTCTGCAGACGGCGGCCTGCATGCCACCCCTCGGAGCTGGGGGCGGGGGGGAGGTCTCTTCTAGATGCAGGCTAAGTGGCGCTCAGAGTATTCATTTGCTCTTGTTACAAATTTCAGTTCCAAATACACAGAAAACCTCATCTCAAAGGACCGTGTTTCCTGGTGCTGCTCTGTTTCTTGAACACGCACAGCCTGGGCTAACTCCTGCTGAGGAGCATCGGGGCAGGGGATGTGCCAGGCACTGCCCTGCAAACCCTATGGTCCACTGGGCAGACAGTGGACCCTCTTAAGAAAGCAGGGTGTTCAGCGGTGCCTAGAGAGCCCCATAGTCCTGCGTCTGTGCTGAGCAAAGTCCCAGAGCGGGGCCTGGTCAAGGAGCCAATTGTGCTGGGAGAGCCCTTCCGCCACACTGGAGTGCCTCCCTCTCTGGGCCCAGCTATGGAAATAGCCTGAAAACCCAGCTGACCCTCCTGGGTCAGCCCTGCACCTGACTGTGTTCTCCGGTGTGTAGGGGCTTCCTTTGTGGTCGTGCTACAGGGATCTGGGGGCATTGGTGGGCAGGAATCATAGACACCCCATGGACAGTCCCCCTGGAAGCACAGGCTGGCCCAGACCCCAAGAGTCTCCCCACTCACCCTGAGGTGAGAACACTGGAGGCATCTGGAACACACTCAGTCCCCAGCCTACCTGTCTCATGCCAGACTGACCTGGTGCAGTCCAGAGAGCCCCCTCGGAGATAGCCAGAAAGGCTTTTGGAGAGAGGAGAGGATGTCTTTGTAGTAAATCTCCAATGACCATGTCTTTGCTTCCCTCTCTCCCTAACTTCTCTGCAGGAGCATTTCTTTTGGGCGGAATCCTCTACTCCTGGCAGTTTCCTCATTTCAACGCCCTGAGCTGGGGCCTCCGGGAAGACTACTCCCGAGGAGGCTACTGCATGATGTCGGTCACCCACCCGGGCCTGTGCCGGCGCGTCGCCCTGCGCCACTGTCTGGCCCTGATTGGACTGTGCACAGCAGCCCCCGTCTTGGATGTCACCACATGGACCTTCCCCGTCATCTCCCTCCCCATCAACCTGTATATTTCCTACCTCGGCTTTCGATTCTATACTGATGCGGATCGGAAGAGTTCCAGGAAGCTATTCTTCTGCAGCCTCTGGCACCTGCCCTTGCTCCTGCTTCTCATGCTCACCTGCAAGCAGACAGCACGTGGCAAAAGTGACAGTGCAGAGCCTCAAAGCTGAAATCAGCTGACTTGTGGGGAAGAAAACAAAACCAAAATGATACTGAGAGACGCACAAATTGTTTCCCTTTGCTCTTAGGCAAGAATAAGTTGGTAATTCTGGAGTATGGGGAATCATTGGCTTTGGGACAAGATTGTAAATAATTTGGTGCTCAATGATCACTTGGCATTTTTTTTTTAATGACAATATCCAAAATACTCCCAAATAAGAAATGGATCGATTCAGTAGACTAGTGCAGAGAGGCTATTTTTCTTTCAGTCTAGATAGCTCTCCCTCTAACTTGATCCCATTGTTTCGAGTCTTCCTTGGGAAGATGTACATGTGCTCCTCTCCTCTGCTGCTCCCCTCTCGTCACCCCTCCCCCCGACCCCCACACACTCAGTGGTAACTGGTGGCCAGATAGGTGAGCACTGTTCTCACACAGCTCTGATTCTGTTGTTTTGGGGGCCTTCAGGCAGTATCAGAGGAAATGCACACTGCAGCCACTGTACCCCATTACTGGTGAATGAGCCAGGGCCCCTGTTCTGGCTTATTCCACCACACATACTTTCCCTCAATGATGATAGAATATCAAGGTTGGCTTGCGGCACAGCACGCAGAGGGAGGATTCCAAACGGTTGCCTGGGGGATCTCAGGCTGGACTGCCAGCCCGGCCCTCCATCCCATGGCATATCAGCACTTCACAAACTCCCGGACACTCAAAGGCATCGTTATAGTTTGCTCTCAGGTGCAGGAGGTGTCTAACGTATGAGGTAGCGCTAGGTTTTATTCCAGAAATCCCTCTAGCTCTGGTCCATTCCTGATCCTCTTCATTCGCTCCTGCAGACCATCAGCTCCTCTTTGTGGTGTGGCTTTTTCAGAGCCATATGATAAGGGAAATCAGAAAAAAAGGGGTGCCGGGCTGGCCAGTTCGCATTTGTAGTCCCTTTCTTTAGTCGCACCCTGCTGTCATCAGGCTCAGACAGCAACCTCCATGCGTGCGACAGCTTTAAGAGCCACAGCAGAGTTACTCCCCGTGGGGTGCTTCCGGTTCTGGATGCTTTTCTAGTTCCCCTGAAGGCAGGTGTGGCAGAGGTCACCTGTTCTTCCCTCAGTCCTCCATGTCTGCCTACCTGTGGCATCCCACTTGGCCAAAGCCCTTGAAGCTTAACAGGATGTTTTAATTACTCAGTCTCCAGGGACTCTGCTGCCCTGTAGCAGACTGGAATTTAAGCAACATTTAAACAGTCGTTGCAACATGCCTATTCTCTCAAAAATGTATAAAGCCACTGCAGGTAGCATCTGATCCCTGTTCCTATTTCTCAGAAGTAGAACCTGCAGCTATATCCAGGTTACTTAATGTGAGGAACATGGCATTGGGAGTGTCTGGAAAGAACATCTACAGCCCTCAAATTTGTAAAATGTATCAGTTTCTCTTCCTGCTGAAATAAACTGTTATATAAAACCAGGAGCATGAGTGATGTAATTTTATTTAGTTATTTTGTGCTTGAGTGAGTGTACGGGTTTCTGGTGGAACTGATAACACTTAGGTACTTTCCTGAGCTAGCAAGTGACTAGAGGGCACATTGAGGTTTCTGTCTCAAGATAGTGGCAGTGAGCGCCTCATTGAAACTTGTGCAATTAGAAACAATAATAAACAGAACCCCAGTACCATACCTCCTCCCCGCCCACATTCACCTTTCTCTTAAAATCATCCAGTCTCAGGCCCTCCCTGGTGGCGCAGCAGGTTAAAGCACAGCACTACAAAGCTAAAGCCACTTCATGAATTCGATCCCCGCCTACCCCGGAGGTGAGCACATGGCACGGCAGACCTCTCCTGACCTGCCCGCTGCTCCCCTCAGCAGTGTACTTCATCCATCTGCCTCTTCTCCACCCCCCTTGTCTCTGGTGAATCCTCTCACCACCCCAGCACTTCTGGCCTGTACCCCAGTTCTGTATGCACAAATAAATAAATAAAAAAAAAAAAATCCAGTCTCTGCTCTGAAAAAACCAGTTGGCACACCTGTGTACAAATGAAGTGGCAGCTTCTCAGACCCAGCACACTGTCCAGTTTTCCTGCAGGAGTCTTACCTCACTGACTTCCCCCCACCCACAAGCTCATGAGTCCATCTTGTGCTCAGAGGACCCGCCCCGCTTCCTCAGCTCCATCCTGTGTGGCCCAACAGGGATGGAAGTTTCCATCACCCACAGCCCCCCACTCCTGGAGTGCCTCATTCCCAAACCCACCCACAGACTCCACCCTTGACCCTTCCCAAAAACTCGGAGCTCACTGCTATTCCTGGCCAGGTGAAGCATGTGCCCTCCCAGAGTTCGAGTCCACTCTGTAGAATGGTGCCCTCTGCAGCTCTGGCAGAGTCAGCGGGTACATGACTGGGAAGGCCTCAGGGCTGGTAGTTAAAGATGTGCAAGTCTAGTGCTGCAGAAAAAATAAAAGCAAAACTGTTACAAGCTGCTCTCTGCAGTGAGTATGATGCACAAGGTTGAATTCCCTCTGGTACTTTGTTCTTTTTTTTTTTTTCCCTGCCATCCTCACTTCCTGTTTGCCAAAAGTCGGCAGCATCCGGGGCAGTGCTGGGACAGCAAAGCCGCTTCTGCTTGACTAGCTTCATGGGACACTTGCTTCTCTGAGTTCAGCTGGAGCCTGGGCCTCCATCCTCTGACACCCACCCCTGCCCTCTGACACATTCTGAGTGACAGGATCTTGTAACCTACTCAGGTAGGACTTGGGAGAAAGGATTTTGGAAAACGCCCACTTGACTCACCGTCCCAGAGAAGTCTTCATCTGACTTGACTGAAGAGCTCAGTCGGGACGTGGCCTTGGCTTGTTCTCTGGATTAGAGGTCAGCTAGAGACCCCCCAAATGCTCATCAGCTGTCGGAGGCACGTTTTCTCCATGTCAATAGAGTCAATCAACACGGCAACTAGATAAAAAGGAATAAAGAAAAAAAAAAAAAGACAGGGCAGTAGTGAACTTTGCCCTTTGGCACACTGCTTTTGGTCTTTCTCCCGTCCGCTGTCAAACTTTTAAAATAAGTTTATGTCTACTGATCTGCCTAGAGTAGAAGTTAAGTGGGAGCAATCAACTTGGCTGCTGCTTTGTTAGAAACCCAAAATAACTGACCTCGTGCTAGACAGATTATTCCCAGCGTCTTCTGGCCACTATTCCCTAACAGACAAGATGGAGAGGGATGTTCTAGACCAAACAGCCTCTGACACTCACTTCCTAATTGAAGTTCTGTCGCTCTGTCACTGACCCCTGCCAGCACTGCACCCATCACAGGACACCTGAGATGGAAGTCACTGGCCACCTTGAATTTGCATTCTGATTGACCCAACCTGGTCTTCACTCACTCTGGCATCCATCATGGAGCCACCTGGCTACACTCTCTGAATGTGTACCAAGTCTGACCACCACTCACCTCCTTCACTGGCACTAGCTGATGTAACTTCCCCCCTCCCACCTCCAAGCCTCCTGAGTTAGCTTTTTCTGACTTTTCCCCCCAGCCCTGTTTGTTGACACACAGTAGCCAGCATGACCTTTCCGAGGTACCAAGCAGATCGTGGCATTGCTGTTCCCTCTCCTCCCAGGGTGCTCCTTCATGCCACAGGTAACGTGCAAACTCCTGACAGTCACCTATAATACCCCAGATAACCTGGCCCTGCTCCCCACTCTGATCTCAGAGCTAAGCAGCTGCCCTCAATGCCCTCCTCTCCACAGTCCTGCCCATAAGTCTCCTTGAAGCCCACCCCCGACTCTTCAGGTCCCGCTTCCTGCTCCCTTTATATGCAATCATCTCCTCCAGTGAATTCCCTCCCGACGTCACTGAAATGACACTGCTACATAGTCTATGACTAGCTAGGATTTACCCCAATGCCTGCTTATTCTGTCTTCCTTATTGCATAGATGCTCCCTAATGGCAAAGACTGAGCTTTGCAGCTGCATCCCCTGCATCCCCTGTATCTGGCGCAGACTTGGCTCTCAGCAGGTGCTTTGTGAATGACCATCCCCTTCTGGGGTCCGTGGACTTCTGTGGTCAGAGGGTCCCGGACTGACAGCCTGAGATCAAGAAGGAACTAAGTTGGCAAGGTGTCTCTAATGTGGTTACACGAGGGGAAAAGTGGCCTGTAAGTCGGGGTCCATCCTGCTCCTACCAGCCCCTTCCCCACATTCACCCTCAGACTCAGTTCTGGGACTGCACCAGCCAGAAGACACTCCAGCTCCAGCGCTTCAGGCACCCGCCTCTGCTTTCTCGTTTCTATAATTGACCTTCTGAGTGGGAAGCCCCAGTCTTGCTGCTGTATTGGTCTCCCAAAACCTGTGTATTTTACTTGCCTGTTTTTCCACAGTTCCCCACCCCTATTTAATACAATAGTGACAAAAATGTCTGTTTCTTGCTGCTATGTCCACAGCATGGGCCTTCCCTGCCCATGCAGGAGATGGGGGCGGGGGTGGGCAGGTGGCTGAGTGGCTTTCGGGGTGGTTGTGTCAGCTGCGCCAGCACTGGAGATGAGGAGCTGGGCACACTCCCTGTGGGGAAGCCTGACAGTGGCGGCTTCCACGCGCTCTGTGAGGAAAACTGCCAGACTTGACACAAGATGAGTTAGCATTTTTCCTGATGCACTCAGTCTTTGTTTTCTGATTTGTGGTAAGCTTTCACCATTTCCTCTATTTTCACAGCTATTTTGGCTCAGCTACTTGGCAGCAGGGTCCTTAGTCAAGTTGGCTGTTTAGTCAACATTTCTCTCTCGCTCTCTCTCTCTTTCCCTTCTTCCCTCCCTCCCTCCCTCCTCCCTTTTACAGATAGCAGAGAACATACTGTCTAGCTCTCTTTCATGCCCTAATTGTTTTCCACTAAAGTCATGTTGACTTATTCCCAGCAGATGTGAGCCCATCATGCTTCCAGATTAGCCTAACGAATGAAACTCCACTGCTTCATGAAATTGGGGATACTGTCTGGAATGTAGAAGCCAAGAGAATAGGAACCCCATATCTAGAAAAGGTCACACATATACACAGGTTAGCAAGGTTGCGCGAAAATCAGTCATCCTCGCCAGATAGCAGCTAGGGGGCGCTGCAGGCTGGGGCCCTTTGGAAACTGGCGTAAGGCCGCCCACAGGACAGCCAAGCCTAAGTGGAGCTAGGGTCTGTCTGGAGGTGGAGGGAAGTGGCCGTGACACTGAGGCCCTTGGGGGAGGCAGACAATCCTTAATTGAGTAACTCCTCCCCATTTCAAACATCTAAAGAACTCTGACTAAATCACTAAGGTGACTAAGACAACAAACAACCCAGGAGAGCACCAGCAGGACCAACACAACAGGGCCCCTGCCCTTCCCAGCTTCAACAGACAAACACAAAGCAGCAAGTGAGAGGAGAAGCACCTTCCCCTCGCCCGCCCCAGGGTGAGTTAACTCAACAGCCACTTATTCTATTAGCCACTAAGCAAATAATTATCCAGGGTGCTAGGAGCTAGGCCTTGTATGAGATAAAAAGGTGAACCAAGAGTGACTGTGGCCCCCAGGAGTCTACTCTCTGGAGTTTACTCAGGGAGGGAGCACAGCAGGAGGGGTTGGTGGTTGAAAAAGCTCCCGGGGTGCCTCCTGCACCCTGAGAGCTGCCTCTGCTCAGCCTCTCTGGTGCCTCCTTGACAGCTGCTTCTCTCTCCTGGTTCTGGTGTCTCTTGAGTATGGATCCACTGCGGCCTGCTCACCTTCCTGGGCGGGCTGGTCTGGCTTTGGTCTTGGTTATTTGACAAGGGGATTTGTGCCAAACTGAGAGCTATACTCAGCCCACAACTCCCCACACCCCACTCATACCTGCTTTCCTTTATGGCACAGTCTAGCGTCTTCTGTATACCCCTTCACTGTGTTTCTGTATGCAAAGGAAGAATCCAGTGTAAACCATTGTACATCAGGCCAGGCATGGGTCTGGGCAGAGGAGGGGAGAAGGTATTGTAGGCAGAGTAATGGGTGAGCGGATGAATTTGCCTGGTGTCTGTGTAGCAGAAGCAGTTCTGCCAAGCTGGCACATGGAAGCAAGAGGCAGGGAGGATTAGATGGACCAGACAAGGCTGACTTCGGATTAATGAGGTATGTGGGTAGTTAGGGGGCGCCATTGAGGAATCAAGCAGGAGAATGGTGTGATAAGCTTGTGCTTTAGAAAGAAAATTCAGGCTGTAGACTAGAAGATAAATTGGGAAAACTAGGGAGACTGGTGAGCGATATGGGTATGAATTTGGGCAGAAGCAGGGCAGAGGGAAATATTTCCGCAGGCCTGGTAGGGTGGTTGGCAAAAAGGAGACCCTAGGATATGCTAGGGCTTCCGTTTGGGACACAATGGGTTGCCGTTCCCTCGGAGCGGAGTCCAGCTTCCACTGTTCTTGTCCCCTGTCTTCCTCTAACTGTGGTCACAGATGTCCTCACCTCCTGTGGAAGGTCAGGCCCTTGGCC